CCGCTCGCCTCTCGCCGGTGTGTGGGGGGGTGGGGGGGCCGCGCAGTTCGGGAGAGGTTGTGGCAGGTCGCGAGATTGATTTTGGGTTGGTGCGCGTGGCCTGATGATGCACATGATGCTGCCCGCGTTGTAGGATATTGATCACGAGGTTTGTTTCGCTGGCGGCGCCGCACTCGGTTTGTCCCAGGGTTTAGGATGCTAAACGGGGGATTGATGTGAAAGGCGTTTTTTTGGGTGGCGGTAGTGTGACTTAGAGAATCACTTTTACATTTCAAGAAGGCGGCAGAGCATGTCCTTCCCTTCCTTGTCATGTGCAGAGCAGGGGATATTTGTGGGTATCTGCCCGTCTGCAGCTGCGAGTGAGGTGTGCGGCAGCGGAGTGAGCTCATGACTGCGTGTGTTTGAACGTACTAAGGGAGACAGCAAATACCCACCCGAGCCTGCTGTGGGATGCCGGGGATTGCACGGGAACAGCCAGAACTGGAGAAGGCCGGGGCTCTCATCGCCATATTGATGGGAGATAAGGACAGCGTGAGAGGATGAGGCAGAGGAAAGGAGAGCGTCTGGTCAAGGTCGTTCAGAGAAGCGCGGGGAGGCCGCTCCTGCCTCCCTACAACAAGACCTTGTAGAGCTCTGGGGCTCGAGGCAGTGAAGGAGGGGAGCTGGTGAGGAGCATCTCCTGGGAAATGAATGCTGCCGACGCCTGTGGTCGGAGGGAGGGGTGGTGGTTTGAATTCCATGCTGGTGCACAGACCTCAGCCTTGAGCCTTTAGATAGAGAGTGGGTGTAGCTGTGCTATTTCTGAGCTCCCTGTTTGCCTTTTGGGAAGCGAGGCTCTTGCAGCATTAACAAATGATCCATACATTAGGTCACAGTCTGGCTCACTGGAGGGGATGGGTCACGCCATGTGATGTTTAGGTGGTGGGAGGCTGGGTAGGAGATGAATAGCAGGAAACAGCCAGAAGAAGGAAACATGAAGGAGCATAGAACAACTGCAGATTACTTATGTACCATGTAAGTGAGGGCTGGCCCTCACAAACAAAAGCAGGGACCTTGTGGTCCCCATAGCACCCAAAAGGAAAAGGCCAGCTGTGGTCCCTGCAAGCCATGACAAAGCAAAGTCTGGGGGGAAAGGTGTTCTCGTGTGAACCATGTGGAGAGCTGGGGTTTGTCTGCAGCTTTGCAATACCTGCTGGCTAGAGATGACCTAGCCTGGAGTACTAAAACTGCTTAGATATTGTAATGCATTTCTGCAGGCATCCACATGCTTTGAAAGACCTGTGTCCTTGTGGTTCTGTGCCAAATTTCCTTGAGATAAAAATGAGGAGAACGGTCACAGGGTGCCAGGGAAAATGCCTGGACTGCCTAGGGTATGTTCAGGTGTGAACACTACCTCCGTGCTCATCTGCCCTCTGTCCACTTTGTTTCCACCACTGACCTGGGCAGGAGGACATTTGCATGATGTAGGTGGAGGAAACTGTGCCTGAGAGTTCTTTCCCCAATTTCTGTTTATGGAGGCCGAACTGGTTGTGTCTGAGGGTTGTGCAGGCCAGAAGCACATACGTGTTTGGCTTGAAAGCACTGACAGAAGGTTATTGTCAAAAACTTTGGGCGGTTTTGAGAGCCACTACTCCTAGAGCTGGGCTAGAAAGTGAGAGACTGGAAGAGCTGTGACAGTAGGCCCCACCAAGCAGTTTACTCTGCCAGGCTTAAGTACAATAATTGGAAAGTCTTGGAAAAGGAACTGTTAATATTTTTGGAAAAGCTTCCAAACCTCCTGAGATGAGGAGGAACACAATCTTTCCAAATTGTGCCAACTCAGGCACTGGCTGCCTAAGTGCCAAGTCCTGAGTCACCTGCTCCCCCACACCTCCCTCACTCGGAGCTGGCTTAAATGCCACAAGCTTTAAAAATGAATAAAATGTCAGATGCTTTTTGCTGACACTTGAATTTCTCAATCTGTGGGACTTCTGAGGTTGGACCTTCAAGCTTTCCCTATGGCTCTGAGGGCTCAGTAGTTTTTATTTTAGTTTAATGGAGATCCAGGTGTATACTGAAACTTCAGGGAGTGTGCTTAATTTAAAATACCAACTATTGCCACAACTTAAAGAAAAATAGACGGGAAGCTTGGTAGCAACTGCTGCCACCTCTTGAGGCAGGCTGCTGTGCCAGTGCCCTGGGGCAGGGTTGGGAAGCCCTAGCCTGGGAAAAACAAGCCTGTTGCTGAAGAGAGTGTGTGTTGTAACTGTTATGAGTGAGTGCCAGTGTAGCTCGTGGGCAGATTTGAGACTCAATTTATGGGAACTTGTCAGCTGGCTCAGGGAAGAGTTAGACCCTTCTTTCATGACATGCCAGAGATCAGCAGAAGCTTCTGTAAAGCAGATCAACTCAAAATAACAGCCACTAATGCAGCCAGTGTATTCATTACTAATGAGCTGAGAATGGTTGCTGAAGGTCAGGAGATAATAAAGGGGAGGCCCTGACAAGCCCTCCTACTTGTAGCCACAGAACTTTTCCTGCTGTACAGTTGCATCTCCCTTTCCAGGGAGGGAGATCCAAGGGATGCTACTGGTTCTCACACTTGCTGGATAAAAGCCCATTCCCTGCCCTCAGAGCACTTGCACATGACACCTTTGAGCTGCAGCTGCTGCCTATGCTGAAGTTGCTATACTCGAGTTGTGTAGAAAGCCAAATTAACTAAATACTTGTTCCCTCTCTTCCCACAGAAAATCACAGCACCTCTTATCTATGCTGTTTGCATTGCTGCCATCGGATCTCTCCAGTTTGGGTACAACACTGGTGTAATTAATGCACCTGAGAAGGTGAGAGGAAGAATGAGCAGGGGAGGTGGGATGAGTGAGGGGCTGACTGGGAAGACAATGGAGTAGAAATGAGAGGGACTGCCTGCTAAGCAGCCAGTGATTTGTTTTTGGTTTGTGAAACATTAGAGGCATTTAAAACCCCCTTTCAAATACAACACTGAACAGGAAGGACAAACTTTGGTGGAGGAGAGAGAGCAAACAGAGGTTAATTCTCTTAATTAGGAGTACAGGAAGGGCAGGACTGCTCCATCTGCCATATGTGGTGTGTGGAGGAATGTGAGCTCCTTCAGTTTTGAGTCAGAATAAACCAACCATGGCAGAAGGAATGTAGAGGGCAGTGTGCAGAAAACAGTTAAGGGTTGGTAGGAATTACAGCTGCCCTAATTCAGTTTATTTCAAGTTTATTTTACTTGTTTATTCATTCCTTGTGTTAAGTACAGATTCAGTGCTTGTAAAAGGGTTGTGACTTGGATATTTGACCAAATCATCCCATGACTGTAGCCTAAGAAACAAGAGGTGAAGAAAATGAGAGATGTGGTTTTCGTGTAACTATAAGATGGTTCCTCTGTCAAGAACTGAGTCACGAATACCACATCCACCCTGTCTCCGGGAAGAGATGTTCTCAGCGGGATGGGGGATGGGGTCAGTCCTCCCTAGCTAATGTCCTGCTGCCATCTGCTGGGGGCAGACACTCTGTCCCCCCCAGCCCATGCCAGAATATCCCTCACTAGCTAAGAGGATGCCTGGGAAATCAGCACTGAGGCCCTGTCACATCCCCCTGGGACAGCATCATGTAAAAAAATAAGCAATTTTTTCAGGCTTATTTCAGTGAAGCTTTGTGTGTCTCCAGCTATTTCTATACCAGAAATCCTATCCCTGCTGTCAGTGTTTTGATATTGCCAGAAATGTTCCCATCCACTCACTGGTCATGTTTTCTTGTTCCCTTTCATTCCCAACTGTCTCCCGCCTCCTCCCAACAACCACCAGTGACTCACATCATCTGAAATATTCAGAAGATAAGCCTGTTTTCCTTAATAAATACTGCTGTCCTCTGGGTACCCTGCCTGCCCCTGCACTCAGTGGGGTACCCTCTTTCATCATACTGCCACTTTTCAGTGAAAGATCCTCCTTCTGTGCCCTCATCTTCCCCTTGTGGAACTTGTGGCCTTTTTGTCTCTCTCTGTTTTCATGGCAGCAGGAAGCAGAAGGAAGACAGTAGTCTCTCCTCTCCCCAGTGTAAAATGCCTCCCTCTGGATTGTAACTCTCGCTCCCCAATTCCTCTTGCAGATCATTCGGAAGTTTTTCAACAAAACCCTGTCAGAAAGGAGTGGGAGTGCTGTCTCCCAAGAACTGCTCACCTCTCTATGGTCACTTTCTGTGGCCATCTTCTCAGTAGGAGGCATGATTGGCTCCTTCTCAGTCAGTCTGTTTGTAAACAGATTTGGCAGGTACGTTGGGAAGAGGGATGCCAGCTGTTGGAGAACTTTTCCCTTTACAAAGGAGTGATGGGATGAAGAGGGAAGAGGTGGGAAGAGATGTCTGGGGGGGAAGCAAGAATGTGTGGGCTGCAAAAAGCAGGCCAAGGCAGAAGCTGAATGGGAATTATTCCATTCTCTTCCCACCCCTGAGATGAGAAATCATGGGCAGGTTTACCTTTACCCCTCTCCTGATGATTTTTGGGCTGTATTGCCAGTTTAAGCTCAGTCTTGACATCTTTACCCTGGCAGGAGGAACTCCATGCTGTTGGTGAATGTCTTGGCCTTTACTGGTGGCCTTCTCATGGCCTTCTCTAAGGCAGCAAAGGCAGTGGAGATGTTGATTATCGGCCGCTTCGTTATTGGTACCTTCTGTGGCCTCTGCACCGGTTTTGTACCCATGTACATCAGTGAGGTCTCGCCCACCAGCGTCCGCGGAGCCTTCGGCACCCTCAACCAGCTGGGCATTGTTGTGGGCATCCTGGTGGCTCAGGTAGGCCTGGTACAACCTGATCCTGCCCTGGGGTGGAGGAAGGAGGGCTGGGGAAGGGCAAGGGGGGTTTTACGTGCCATCAGGCGCAGTGTGTGGATCCTGTCATACTGGGGTGGGGGTAAGGAACTGAAGTGTTTAAAGTCGCTCTTATTTCTCTTCTATTCTCCGTGTAGATCTTTGGGCTGGAGGCAATCATGGGCACTGAAGGACTTTGGCCGATGCTTTTGGGGTTCACAGTCCTCCCAGCAATTGTGCAGTGCATAGGTCTGTTATTCTGCCCTGAAAGCCCCCGTTTCCTATTGATCAACAAGATGGAGGAGGAGAAAGCCGAAGCAGGTAAGAACTCATCTCAAAGGGGCAGGGCAGTGTCCTGGCTCCCAGCCTGCACTGAACTTGAGTGGGAGGCCAGGACTGATTCTGGAGCCTGTGGTGGATTAGGGTGTGACTCCCGGAGGGCATCAGGCCTGGCCTACCTTCCCATCCCTTAGGTTGCCCCAGTGCCAGGAAGCATGAGAAACCTGGCATCCCAACAGAGGCGCCAGGTGGGGTTAAGATGTGAGGAGTGGCACCTGGCCTGGTGGGATTTAGCAGGACCAGGTGCTGCTACTCTGCCAGCTCCTCCTGAAAGGCAGGAAATAGGCTGGCATTTAACAGGGAGCTTGGAGGGCTGGGGTTGGCTCTGGCAAGAGTGTGAACAGAATTTCAGGATCAAACATAAGCTTGGAGGTCAGTCAGCGTGAGCAGGTTTCTGTGGCCTGGTTTCTGTGCTGATCACAGCACCCTGACCTCTGGGTTGAAAAGAATAGCAAGGCTGCCAGCAGAGGCTTGGTCTTTCCCATGCAGCAGGCCTCAACACCAGCTGGAGGTGTTCAGTCCTCCTCCCGTGCCCTCCCCGCAATAGCAGGATGGGACACACACACACACACCTCCTGTCCCCCCAGTGTGTGTCTCATACCTGACATCTTTGGATTCCTCCCTCCAGTTCTCCAGAAGCTCCGTGGAGATCGAGATGTGTCTCAAGACATCCAGGAGATGAAAGAAGAAAGTGCTAAAATGTCCCAAGAAAAGAAGGCAACTGTGCCAGAGCTCTTCCGCTCTCCAAACTACCGTCAAGCCATTATCATTGCCATCATGCTGCAACTCTCCCAGCAACTCTCAGGAATCAATGCTGTGAGTTATTTTCCTGACCTATCTTCTGGGCCTCCCTTACCTCTGGCTAGAGTTGCACTTGCTGCTGGTGTGGAGAGAGCTCTGAGTCCCCAAACATCTTTGTGCCTTGGCTGGAGGTCACTGTTTTGTCACCTGGTGAAGATGCTGTGATGGAAAGTGGATATTATGGTTTTCACTTTCCCCACATGCTTTCCCTGGCAAGACACTGCAGCTGTACACCAAGGGAATGAACACTGACTGGAAGCATGCTGTTCTATAGCGTGGAGTGCTGCTTGGGGATGGGATCAACCCTGATGGCTGAGCAGGCTGTTAGGCAGAGGATGAGGGACCTGTTCTCCAACATGGAATTATGACTTGTGACCAACTTTCTTTTCTCTTCCCAGGTATTCTATTATTCTACAGGGATTTTTGAAAGAGCTGGTATCACACAGCCTGTCTATGCCACCATTGGGGCTGGCGTGGTAAACACAGTCTTCACTGTGGTGTCGGTGAGTGGAATGGGGCTGTGTGTCTGCCTGGGCCCATCCCTGGCAGATGGAACTACAGACAAGTAGCCAGGCAGTGGCAAAGCACTGGGCTGCGCACTGACTGTAGGAGAGTGCATCAAAGGCATGGTGGGAGGAGAGATGGGCAGAAAGAGGTGGTGGTGTTATCCTAGACGAAAGAGAAGGTGGAAAAGGAGTTTATGTGAGGAAAAGAGTGATGAGAGAAAGCAGTAGCAAGAAACAGAGTGGAAGAACTTGTGCTGACAATGGAGCAGCCTGGTGACCTTCCCTGTGATCACCATGGTCTCTGAGGTGTACAAGCAGATAAGAGGTGCAGGAGATGCTGAGCAAGGAAGTCTGTCCTCCTTTTGCTGCCAGAGTAATGGACTTTTTTTTTTTTTTCCTTCTGCCTTCTCCTTTCCAGCTGTTCCTGGTGGAGCGTGCAGGGCGCCGGACTCTCCATTTAATTGGTTTGGCTGGCATGGCTGTGTGTGCTGCTATTATGACTGTAGCTTTAGCTCTAAAGGTGAGTGATCAGTGTTCTTGCCCAGGCTGACCCCAGCAGGAACCTATAAGAAAAGAAAATACGTCTGCTTTGCTCTGCAGTGCTGCCCTATAGATGGGTAGGGCTGGGGCTACAGCCAAGTGTGCAGTGGAGAGAGCAATTTTATAACTCTGGGAACTTCTACAGTGGTCACAGTGCAGCTGAGAAAGTTGTGACACTGGAGATGGCATTGTGCTGATCCCATTTTGTTCCTCTGCAGGACATTGTGGACTGGATCAGATACATCAGCATTGTTGCCACTTTTGGCTTTGTGGCTCTCTTTGAGATTGGCCCTGGCCCTATCCCTTGGTTCATTGTGGCAGAACTCTTCAGCCAGGGCCCACGACCTGCAGCCATGGCAGTGGCTGGTTGTTCCAATTGGACCTCTAATTTCTTGGTGGGAATGCTCTTCCCCTATGCAGAGGTAAGTCCTGGTCTATAAAGCACTGTGAGGGCACTGGAGCAGTGGAACAGTGTCCAGAAAGGTGGTAGAACTTGCATCTTTGAAGACTTTGACATGTGACTGTGACCTTTAATAACCCAACCCCTTCTGGAAATTGTCCCTGCTTTGAGAAGAGGGCTGGTGAGTCTTCCAGAGGTCTCTGAGTCAGTGTTATGATTGTTACTGGAGGCTGTTGCTCCCCTTATATTCTGCTGTCTTAACTGGTTGCAGCTTACAGCTATTTGGAAGGGCCATCTTAGCATGCTTTAAAAGCATCAATTTTGGTCACCCTCAGGAAGATTAAAGACCTTTAGGAGACCATAGGAACGTGATTGCAATTTTAAAAATGGTGTGACGAGAAAATGTACCTAAGGGCACTTTTGGAGAAAGGTGTTGGAATTTTAATCTGTGAACACAAATGACCATACATGCAATTTGAAAATAAAACCTTTTGTGTTTGTCCTCCCTGCAGAAACTATGTGGCTCCTATGTCTTCCTCATCTTCCTTGTTTTCCTGGTCATCTTCTTTGTCTTCACCTTCTTCAAAGTGCCAGAGACCAAGGGCAGGACTTTTGAAGACATCTCCAGGGGCTTTGAAGGACGAGGAAACGCTGCCTCATCACCCCAGAAGACGCCCATGGTGGAGCTGAACAGCAAATAAGCTGGCAAAACAGCTGCCTAAGATCCGTGACACACCCATTCTTTAACTCGTTCATGCTTAAAGAGTCATTAAAGGAATGAGCAAAGAAAACCATGAGAACTGGGACGTTTTTCCCCTCCTCAATTGCTGCTATTTTCTTCTTTTCACCCACATGCTCACCCATTCTGCCAGGCTTGCCAGCATTAAGCAAATCTGATATGGGTGATCTGCCATTCTGGAAAGCACCTGGCACTTGCAAAAATAATCTCATCTTCCCTGCCACAAACATCAGGAGAACAGAGAAGAGCTGGCAATATTTTTACTTTTCTCACATAAAATTGCGGTTTGGGGTTAACATACTTAAGCACACAGTGACCATTATGTATTTGAACCTAATTACTATTTTTGTAGTGAGTTGAAGTGACCCGCTAAACAAGTCCCCAGCCCTTTGAGTCTACTCTGTGTGCGTGTGTATGGTGTAACACTGGAGTTTAGCAAGCTTACCAAAAAGCAATCTTGCTTTTTCCTATCCAGTGTGCACTTTTTTTAGCCTCAGGAAAAAGGGGACCAAGTCACATGCATATTTTTTCCTGCTTTTATTTTTTTGTATAGACAGACTGAAAGCATACTTTTACTTCAGTTTATTTATTTGTATGTCACTTTGTAAATATTTATTTTTTTAATGGTGTACAAAAATGTACAGATAAAGAAATTGGAGAAGTTTAAGAGAAATAGCTATTCTAACAAGATGCTGTAGACTTGAGGTGCAATAAGACTGTAAAGGAGAAATATGGTACTAAAAAGGAGATTGAGCATTTTAAGTGGTATGTACAGCAGAGCCAATTATGCACATCACCTTGAAGTTATTTGTGCCCTCTGGAAAGAAATTCAATGAGTTGTGAACTTGTGGGAAGAGGTATGTTTCTGCACTAAAATCTCCGTTATTAGGGATTTTTGGTGGCTGTTTTAAGTAATTGTTCTTAAGTGTTGATGAGAGTGCGATATTGCATCTTACAATGGCTGTTGTTGGATTATATTTTCAGACATGGTTGTAAGCATTCTGTGCATGACTGAGGGTGGTGATTGCAAACCAGAAGGTAATTTTTCCTGCTTTCTCTTAATTTTATTTCTTTTTGGCTTCTCTGTTCTAGTCTAGTACGTCATAAATTCTGAAATTTGCAGATTGTCACTTAAAGGAGTGCGAGGATAAAAATTATTTTTCAAAGCTGTATTTTCTTAGCAGTTGTTCCTATAAATATTACAGAGGCATGTAGCATGACTCTTCTGGACACAGGCATGGTCAATTGTGGTACATGTAAGTTCATCTAGGTAGAGATGCAGGACTAGACACCAGAGCTACTGGAGTTTGCTAGTTTAGCAGTGCAAAAGGTCTGTAGTGCTCAGTCCCCTGCTTGGTTGAAGGCCAGATGTTTTTTTTGCCCCATATATCCTCTCTGGAAGGTCTGCATGATGTTGTGGTGCTCACCAGTGTGCTTTGTAGATGTGTACAGCTCTGTAACAATGCCTCTGTTCAAAGGGATGTGGCAGGCAGTAATTGTTCATCAGTAAATGTCAGTCTTCTTGCTCGTCATTCCTCTGGGCCACTGAGTTTGTTTGTCCCCCCACTCTTGCTGCCGAGCTAGCACAGCTCAGGTCAGGCAGGAAAAAAGTAGCACGTAGGGTACACTTGCAGCCAAGGAGAGGCAGCTTTACTTCACTGCAGCATTCTGTGACAGGCTCCAGGCCCGTGCCTGTCCAGACCTGCACAAAATATCTAAAGGTTGCACAGAGGTAGGTCCAGTTTAAGCTCCTGCTCTTCTGAGATTGAGCTGCAGTTTTTGGACATGGTCAAACTTGGGTCGACCTGCTGGAACTCATTACTGGATATCCTACAAGAGAGGTAGGCCCACAGCTTCCAAGGTGGCACAAGGAAGAAAGGCTTAGAAAGGTTGGAACGACAGCAAGACTTTGGTAGCATGGATAGCCCAAGCTTTCTTGCCAACATAATGCTTCAGAGCAGGTTAGAGAAATTCCCGTTGATGTATATTCTGGGGGTCTATCTGACATCTTCAGTGACTAGTGATGGCATTTCTACCTTCCCCAATGAGAAACAGTTGCAAAGATCAGTTAAATTTGCTACTGTTAAATGCTTCCTGTGAATTAATTCAAAATGCCCCAGCTTTGCACAATGTAATCATATTACATCCAGGTCTCCCTAGCTTTTTATCAGGCTTACGTGCCAGATATTTATTCTTGGAAGGATTATATATGACTTCTCTCCCAATTTTGATATTTTGGCTCAGTTACATAGATTTCTGTGCCCTTCCTTTGACCCTCCAGCACATCCAAACATGATATTTCTATATGGGTATCTGTATGTTAGGAAATTCCCACCACAGCTGTGCATAAGAGCTTCCATATGTTGCATCAGATGTGTGTTGGCTTGGACCGAGATGTGTAGACCTTTCTCACATGGTATCTTTGTTATTTTTCTTTTTCTGTAATGGCATTGTGAATATTTCAGATGGATTTTATATGCTTATTAATGTGGTTGTTTCCTGGTTTTGAAATAAAAAAAATATGAAATAAATATCTGATTTGGATTTTACCTTTATCCTGTAGGTTTTCTTATTCTTTTATAAGGGACTGCACCCTGAAATGTCACCACCTTCTAACCTGCAACCTTTTTGGGTAGCAAATCACTCTGGATTTGCTGTTTTATCTTACTGGAAGTGGTCATTTCTCACAGTCTATATGCAAACCACCTATAATTCCCTTACTATTATTATGTAGCAATTTTTAAATTAAAAGATGTGCTTCTCCGGTTCTTGTTTGCCCAAATCCTCTTTCTTTGAGTGCAAATACTTTCCCAGTGTAACAGGAAGAGAGAGAAGTGGCTGGAGGTTATGAATCCTGCCCAGTGCTAAAGAGCCTGAGACTTTTGCCCTTGCTCTGTTCCCAGTGCATTCTTCACCTGCTCTGCCAGGAAGGAGAAGGACCCATTTCCCCTCTAGCTGATGCTTTACACCCTCTGTTTGGGATGTGACCTTCATGTCCTTCTGTGAGATCCTGCCTATGCACGCTCAGTAGTGGATATGGGACAGGAGCAGGGGAAGGAGAAAGAACCCCACTGCCCCAGCAGCTGATCCCATAGCTCAGGGACTGCAGCATTTCTTGGACCACTCTCAGATCTCTGGGCTGCTCCCAAAAATATGTGAACAAAATATCCTTCAGTGGCAGAGGATGGAATGAAGTGAAAGGAAGGAAAAAATGGCAGACCCCAGAGTACCTTAGCCATATTCCTGCTCTAATACAACTCTGGAGTCCACAGGCTGCTGGAAGCCTAAAACAAGGAAAGAGTAGGGAACAATGCTGAGATTTTTCAAGTCTGAAAAAGCTCAGCAGATCAGCAATCCCATGAAGACTTTCTGAAAGCTGCTGTTGCTGGCTGCTGTGAGTTCCTAGCTCAATCCTGTGTTTTGCTAAGCTTGGTATGCAACTAGCCTTGGAGCTGGGAAGTGCCCTGGGCTAATCTGTCTTGGATTGTTTTTCAATTCTAGCTCAACTATAAAAATAAAGCCCAGCCATCCAAACTCATAAGCATATCCAGCTCAAACTTAACTCTTAACATTTCAGTTTTCTTTGTCGAAAGTGGAAGCAGAGAATAAAATCATTTGAGGCCAAAGCATGTGATTCACTGCCCCCTAAATTAACCTTTTGTGCAGCTTTTGTGATAAATTTCAGATTAGGAACAAGGCTTTGGTTTAGATCTGGTTACTTCTGAAAATTGTAAGGAAGCTTTAAGAAGGAAATCTGTTTGCAATTATCTAGTTTGAATTCAATTAAATGGTTTGAGGATGGGCTGCTTTCAGCTGAAAGTGTTCATCACATCCAAGGGAGCATGTAGGCAGTTCTTGTGGCCACCACAGTACCTGACAGAAAGAAATCACTGGAGAGTTCTAGAATGAAACTGCTGCTGCATGGACAGGAGAAAAACTCCAAGGGTCCCAAGTGGCACCAGGCACGTCAAAGGTTTTTTTGCCTTTTTTTACAGGCTGGAGCATGATAGAGTGTCACAGCGTCACTGCCAACATTTGTTGCTTTCTGCTCATGTTATTTCTGATGAATGTCTTTGCATGCCAGCCAAGAACAGCAGTTTATTTCTGTGAGAAGAACTGTGGGAAAAAAAACCTGCAGCAAACAACATTTTATTAGAGATAGATTTCCTTGCTGCATGTCCAGTGCAAAAATCTTTTTATTTGATTTTATGTTCTGAAAAGAGGACACATTCTAGACACCTCAGTAGCTGTGGAGATACGGGGTAGCTTCTCCTTTAGTTTTGGGTGAGAGCACAGGCAGAAGACTGCACTTACCTCCAAGCAAAGTTACTAACCCCTTCTTTGAGGGTTACTCCAAGAAGGAACATTTGCTAGTTTGGTGGGGGACTGTGCCATCACTGCTTCCATTGGAGAGGAAAGCAGGTGTGGACACACTGCCAATGTTGTTGTGATGGGCCACGATGGAGCAGCATCAGGAGGTGACTCACCACAACCTTTTCTTCCACTGTACACATAATGAGAAAAGCCCTGCCAGCAGGACCTGAATCTAATGAACATTTTGTTGTGCAGAAAATTTATGTCTCTCTGGCTTTTTCTCAGACTTCCTGCAGATCAGACAAAGGACACAATTCTAACATTTTCTTCACTTTTAGAAGGACTCTGAAGGCATGTGAGATGCTTGCTGGAAAACCTGAGGTCTGGTCTGTCACTTAGCCTGGCTCTGTTTTCACTATGTGAGTTACCAGACAAGAGACAGTTGTCTTCATAATATGCTGCTGGGAAAAGGCAGTACTTAGTCTGTCTTAGACAAGGAAAGAAATGCTTTTGTCTCCTAAAATATATATCGCAATGACAACTTAATTGGTGTTACTTGAAAGTATTCCATTTCTGGTGGAGGCAGGCTGTAACTTCTAAAACAATTCACTTGCTGTGATAAATCTTGTTATACCTCACTAAATTACACAGTGTTTACAAGAAGTGTCTCTTCCTTTTCTATAAGCTTCAGCAGGCCTGATAGACACATGACTGACCTGCTAAGTCTGTTTTCTGCTTGTGCAA